TGGGCGACTCTGGGAAGTGAGAAAGACGAAGAACTTAAAATAGGTAGGAAAAAAAAATAATTTTTTATTTTTTACGGAATGTTTATATATTTATTTTTGCCTTAAAAGTAACATAAAAATAGTAGTTCAAATGGGTGGTGTTGCAAATTTAGCCGCAAGGTCTTTGGTTCGATTCCCTGCCTCACATGTAGTCTGGTTTGTTTTTTTAACCGAATATTTATATATTTATATTTGCCTTAAAAGTAACATAAAAATAGTGGTTCAAATGGGTGGTGTTGCAAATTTAGATGCAAGGTCCTTGGTTCGATTCCCTCCCGCAACATGTAGTCTAGTTTTTATATTATATGGAATTTTTATATATTTATATTTGCCTTAAAAGTAACATAAAAATAATAGTTCAAATGGGTGGTGTTGCAAATTTAGTTGCAATGTCCCTGGTTCGATTCCCTGCCTCACATGTAGTCTGGGTTGTTTGTTTTTTTTTTAACCGAATATTTATATATTTATATTTGCCTTAAAAGTAACATAAAAATAGTGGTTCAAATGGGTGGTTTTGCAAATTTAGTTGCAATGTCCCTGGTTCGATTCCCTGCCTCACATGTAGTCTGGGTTTTTTTTTTTTGTTTTAACCGAATATTTATATATTTATATTTGCCTTAAAAGTAACATAAAAATAGTGGTTCAAATGGGTGGTGTTGCAAATGTAGATGCAAGGTCCTTGGTTCGATTCCCTGCCGCAACATGTAGTCTAGTTTTTATTTTTTTAATTTTTTATGGAATGTTTATATATTTATATTTGCCTTAAAAGTAACATAAAAATAGTAGCTCAATTGGGTGATGCAAATTGTCATTTGCAGAACAGTGGTTCGACTCCTCCAAGACAAACATGCGTTTTTACATTATTGTCATAGTTAAATTACTTATTTATTGCATAAATATTAAAATTATTGTATTTTAATGATCAAAAAAATTATAACTTTAATGTAATAATTAGATACATCAATATTTTATAATAATAAATGAGTGGATATAATTTCCTTTTTTTTTATTTATAAAAAATATATGTTCTATTTCTAATTATATAAAATTAAATGTTACAATTACAATTTTTTTTATATTTAAACTATTTCAATCAATTGCATGTTACTTGTTTAATTATTTAGAATTTATGACATTTGTAGAATGGCTCCTAAAAAACACGACATTGGTTGGGAACACGCAACACCTGTTGGTAGTGATCGACGAATTACAAAGTGCAATTATTGTGGTAAAATAGTTCATGGTGGCATTACTCGAATGAAACAGCATATTGCACATGTATCCGGGCAGGTGGAAGGATGTCCACGTGCACCAAAAGAAGTGTCGCAATTCTTGAGACAACATCTTAGTGATTGTAGTAAAGAAAGGGCTTCTATAAAAAAGAAAAAAGAACGAATTATGCAATCATTACGAGATGAAGATTGTTACAACCTGGATGACGACGATGATGATGATGGTGAGAATCAAATTGAAGATGGTGATTTTGAAAGAAGACAGTTAAAGCATGCAATGAAGGAAAGTCGTCAAATGGCTTGGATGGAGGAAGAGGGTCGTAGGCATTCTGTATCAAATGCAAGCGGTCGATCATCACAACCATCAAGCTCAGGAATCAAGCGCGAACCAGCACGTAGCTATAGCACAAAAGAAGGTGCAAGCATGCCTATAAGTGGCCTTGATCCGTACATGTTCCCGTCGAAACAAAAGTCAGTAAAAGGCATATTCTCAGGTGCGAACCTGAAAAAAGTGGGAAAAGCTATTTCAAAGTTCTTCCTCTTCAATGCCATACCATTCAATGCAGCTGATAGTGGGCCTTACTATCAGTCAATGATTGACACTATTGCGGATGCAGGCCCAGGTATAAAGGGTCCCACAGGATATCAAATTGGTAGTTCTTATTTGGAGGAGGAGGTTCAAGAGCTTGATGTGTACATATCTTCGATGAAGGTAAAATGGCCTCAGTATGGTTGCACAATCATGTCTGATGGGTGGAGTTCTAGAACAAAGAAATCCATTATCAATTTCATGATTTATTGTGACCGTAATATGATTTACCATACATCAATTGATACCACAAATATTTCAAAAACTGCTGACTATATTTTCTCTCTTATGGATAAAGTTGTTGATGAAATTGGAGAAGAAAATGTAGTACATGTAGTAACCGACAATGAGGCAAGCTTTAAAGCAGCTGGTAAGATGTTGATGGATAAAAGAAAACATTTATTTTGGTCTCCTTGTGCAGCTCATTGTATTGATTTGATGCTGGAAGATATTGGTCATATGAAAGCAATCAAGGAGACCATAGATGATGCTAAGACGATCACATCTTTTATCTACAACAGTCTCAAAGTGGTCAACTTAATGAAGCAACATACCCGAGATAGAGATTTATTGAGGCCAGGTATAACACGATTTGCCACTGAATTTATCGCCATTGAAAGTCTTATTCGTTATGAATCGGACTTGAAAAGAATGTGTACCACCGATGAATGGCGTGAGTTCAACAAAGACAAGACGAGGAGAAAAACAAGAGATATAGTCTCAAATCTTATTTTGACTGACCAATTTTGGAAGAAGGCTAGAGAAGTTCAATCTGTCATGGAGCCTCTTGTTAGAGTCTTAAAAATAGTTGATCAAGACAAAAAACCAACTTTATCAATTATCTATGAGGCAATGGACAGGGCTAAACTAGCCATACAACATTCAGTCAAAAATTGGAAGAAATACTGGGCTGTGATTGACAAAAGATGGGAGATCCAATTGCACAGACACTTACATGCAGCAGGTAAAAGTATTTAAAAATATAAATAGTTGATCATTGTGTATTAGCTTGTAAAATATTATAGTTTTTCACTAACTTACATTAAATTATCAAAAATTTTGCAGCTTATTTCTTAAATCCAGTTTTTCAGTATTCTAATCAATTTTCCAACCATCCTGAGGTAAGATCTGGTTTGAAAGAGGTTATTAAAAGATTGGAACCAGATTTGAATAAACAAGCAAGGGCAATGAATGAGGTATGACGATTTTTGATAATTTTTTATTATAATATGTGTATATATTTGTCGTTTACGTAATACATTACACAATAAATTGCAGATCAAATTATATACTGACAAACATGGCGAGTTTGGGAATGCACTCACTAGAAAAGCTGTACATGCCTCCCTTCCAGGTTTATTATTTAAACTATATGTATTTAGTAAAGTATCATTTGTTACTCTTATGGTCAATACTAATATTGTACAGTTTTTTTTTTTTGTAGCTGAATGGTGGATCAATTATGGTGACGAAGCTCCCCATCTGCAAAAAATTGCAGTCAAAGTTTTAAGCCAAACATGTTCATCATCAGGGTGTGAAAGAAATTGGAGTACATGGTCGCTAATCCATACAAAACTTCGCAACCGATTGGCAATGAAAAAGCTACATAAGCTAGTTTTTGTGCACTACAATATGCGGTTGCGAGTTAAAAATTTGACATATCAGCGTGAAAATGATGATTTTTATAATCCAATTGATTTGAACTGTATTTTTAATGATGATGATATATTAGATGAGTGGATAAGAGAAGGGGAGGAATCAATTTTACCACCTGATAATTTAGGTTGGCTGGATGAAGGTATTCGTGACATTGAAGAAGGTGGAAGTGGACGAGATGTAGTTGATGAAGGTGACACTAATACGGCACCAACATCTAGCAATTATGCCACTACCAGAAGATCTGAAAAAGATACGAGGCCAACTAATAAGGGTAAAAAGGCTATGAGAATTTTTGTTAGTTCTAGTGATTCTTCTTCTGATGATGATAATGATAATAATGTTGCTGATACTTATGGTGGTGGTGGTGGTGATAGTAGTAGTACTGATGATGATGATGCTAGTAATCATGGTGGAGATAAAGATGAGAGCAACAAGAGTGATGGTGGAGGGACTACTGGAGATGGTAGTGATACTCAGCTACCTGGCGGTATGTCATGGGCACAGGGGCAAGACAATTACTATGCCACACAGGATACAGACCATGGATATAGACCAGGGGCAATGAAACAACGAAGGAATTTAAACTCTTCCATTGGTGATGATAATTCCCATAGACGCTACCATCATTCACTTAGTCGACAAGATATTGACGATCATATGCAGAATTTGGGATTGACATCATATGAAGGATACATGTCTTACGGACATCATCAAAGTAGTGGTATAGAATCTAGCTATTCACATGGATCATATGGATATGGTATCCCTTCGCAGCTTTCGAGGTCTACTAGTACTAATAGTGCTGGGCATTATGGCCATCGCCCTACGCATCTTGAGAGATCTACTAGTACTAGTACTGGTGGTTACTATGATCGTGTTCCAAGGAGACATCATGATGGATCTTCTAACACAACATCGGATAGTGTCAACTTTTATGGATATGATCAGTCTTCTGCTAGTAGTGGCCGTGAATATCGTGGTTTTGGGTACTATCAGTATGGGAACCAGCCAGTACAACCTCCACAGTCACACTACTCTGATTATGGGTCATCTAGTCAATCAATTCAACCAACCCAATCAGACCTGTATTCACACTTGTACTCTAATTCTTATGGTAGACAGTACCATAATTTGTATTATCCTAGAGACAATAACGACGATTTTGAACCTCATCGTCGTTCAATGTGGCAATGATTACAGCTCAATATGTTCCTAAATGTCTACATTGAACATTGATAATGATAATTATTTTCGCTCGTGATTTTATGTTTCATTTTAATTATGTTTAATGTGTTTTTAGATGTATTGTGGATATATGATGCATAAATGATAATGTCTATTTTTTTAGAATTTTTTTAAATTTTTTTGGAGCTTCTATCTTGCATTTTGAGCGTATCGTCCGATACCGCGCCGCGACGCCGCGACCGATGTGTATCACTACCCTCCGAGTTCATGGCCGATACCGCTACTTTGAACCATGTTCACGCCTCGCCTCGCCTCGCACCTAGGTCCCAGGAGAACTTTGCGCCCAGGTGTGCCTTCCGCTTAAATAGCACTGCTACAGAATAAGAACTACTCATAAGGAGAGATCTACGATCCTGTCAGCATTAATAGATCCACGCACAAGATGGTTAACACGAATATAACATCCTACACTCAAACCAAACAATATCATTTAGGCAGTTGGGTAACGGATGAAGCAGCACACATATCACAACATATCTAGGAGATAATAGAAACTTAATAGTATGACCTTTTAATATTAACTGAACACTAACCATTTATTCATAAATTATTCCGGTTTATTTACCTTAACACCAGCTGGTAAGTTTCCAGGTTTAGCTGTGGCTGTACTCCCAAACAGATTGACCCCTGAGACAGAATTTCCAAGCTTAGCAGTATTCGTACCCCCAAAGTTAAACTTTGACTTTTTCTCCGCAGGTTTCAATATTTGGAAGGAGCACATCAAAGTTTCATCTACACTCATCATGGCACCAGCATTGTCAAACTCCCCACAGTAATTTGGTGCCGAAAATACAGTTACAAGTTGTCGGTTTGCAAAGAACTCGTACCCATCCTCTACAACCTGCAATTTGTAAAGAATAATTTTACTAGTGCTCATATCCCCCCCACTCAACTCTTTGAATTCACAGGAGGTGGCCCCCCGGGCACAAAAAAAACTCCAATATGCCATATGGAGTTTCAATTCATATAGACATACAAATAAATTATACACATGTATACGTATATAAACACCATATTTCCCACATCATTTATTAAATACCCCAAAGAGATAATGTGCCTGCCTAGTAAAGCAGAGGACATTTACACAGAAATCGGAATAAATTATTGTAGCACATCAAACCTGGTGAGCACGGCATATAAGATCCAAATCATGCTTCTGAAGGAATTCTGTCACCTTGTCAGGGCCAAAAGTATATGAAACACCGCGGTCATTCATCCCCCAACCATGAACATCTTTACTAGGATCTGACCAGAGGAGATCACAGAGCAGACCAGTATCTGGAACATCAGTTGGGCGTAGTAAGTTTCTAATCTGATCCAAACTGTGCAAATCAGGAGAAAGGCCTCCATGCATGCAGAGAATCTTCTCGTCGATTAGGGCTGCCACCGGGAGGCAGTTAAAGCAATCTGTGAAGACTTTCCATAGCTTTACATTAAACCTTCTCTTACATTCATCATAGAATCCATATATACGGTTTATAGAAGCACACTCATGGTTTCCTCTCAACAAGAAAAAGTTTTCTGGATATTTTATTTTATATGCAAGAAGGAGGCATATTGTTTCTAGGCTTTGCTTGCCTCGATCAACGTAGTCCCCCAGAAATAGGTAATTGGCATGTGGAGGTAATCCACCATATTCAAAAAGCCGTAGAAGATCAGAATATTGACCATGAATATCACCTGAGTGTCACAAAGTGCACAAACAGGGCATAATGTAAGAGATATTAGGAACCATTTCTTTGCTAGCTAACCAAATATTAAATTATATGTTAAAAGTAAAGCTTCAACATATATTTGTTTTGTAGAATTAACATCAATCAGATGCCTCCAAGTAAGGGTGTCAACTCTGACCTGTTGATACGAACCCGACACAAACAATTATAAAATTGACACGATTATTAAATACGCATAATAAATAGTCTATAATAATGTTTAATACTCAGAACACACTATATAGATTTTGTTTTCCTGAGTTTTCACATGGACACAACACGAATAACAATAACACGACACAAATGACACGACATGTGGGTCACATGAACACGACACGATTGACATCTCTATCTGCAAGGCTGCATCAAATTTTGTAATTTTTGCTACCTAGAGAAGAACAACTAATTAAATGCAAAACCATAACCAATATCCCTGGAGAAAAATCAAAAAAATTAATACTAAAACACTAGCTAGAAAATGAAAATTGAAATCAATGCCAACCATGCATAATGATAAATTCCTCTGATCAGAAAAGAACTTCATTACATTAAATGCAATCCTTCTACAAAGGACATGCAATTCAATGATTCACATATAAGTAATGAATTATTTACATATACCTAGATAATATATATAATAAAACAGGACCCAATTTGAATCCCTTAACTTAGTTTAACACAAGAGTGACTAAGATTCATTTAATTCAATAGCTCAAAATCATCACTGAAAACTTTTCACCCAAAACTTGAAAATCCCACTCAACTCATACCTTTTTACGCTAATCAATCTCAAATTCCCCCTAATCTATATAATAAGGAGTTGGAAGTTTGAATCTTATACCCATATATTTTTCTGCTCATTTCTATCACATCACCCCTAATTTTTTATTAATCATTTTTTTTTTTGACCCACTTCCTATTTTTGATCACTAACAGCATTTTCAAAAATGATGAACTTTCTCTCATGTACATCATGACGTTAATCAGACCCTGTTCACCACATAAAACCTTCAAGATTGTAACATAATGGAGATTTTCAGTCACAATCACCAAAGATATTAGAATATCACTCATTGGTACAAGCATCAGATACCAATTTTCAAAGTTCCACACACTAAAAGGAAAATTTTCAGATTGCATCTCCAAAAACCTGTTGGGTCCCCTTGTTATTTCTGCTACCTCATCATTTCATGGTTTTCACCCATTTCATTCTAAATCATTTAACTCCAACTATGCAAACAACAAGCAATAGTTGATGTTGCCAACCCTCATTTTCTTCCCGACCACAACATCAACCCATGGATTTAAATTACCCTTCCAAATGATTAAAAGTTAATATACGATCCATATAACAAGCAACCATGATTGAATTTTCTCCTTGTTCCCCCAGCTATATGATCCATTCCATCTTGTTTTCTGCAAGATCTCAAGCTATTGCAAATGCAAGGATCGCAACTTCCCTCCCATTGCCAAACCAAGGCACCTGTCTGCAAAGCAACCAAAATTTAATCTCTACTATTATAAATAACACAAACTTCTCGACCACCTGAAACAAAATATTTTTTCGATCAAAAGTTCCTTGAACACTACTGTTTTATCCAACCAAGCCAATCTCTAGTCCACGGATTCCTCTATTGCTTTTTCGGGTGGAATTTAGGCACTTAGTTCTAGTTTTAGAGTAACGCTATGATGTACATCCCCTGAAAATGCGTTCTTTCTCACTATTTTGCATTTTTAGGGGATCCAGGCTTATCCCAACATATATATTTATGAATATATATACATATTTATATAGAAGTCCTAAAAAGAGAGAAAATTTAAAGGGAATACTAATCATAGACTGGACTAATGCTAACCCTCCCTCCAAATCTTGCTCTATTGCAACACAATCAACTACAGGAATGGAGATAAAAAAAAAAACACGAATGGATGTGCTTGGATACCACAAACAGGAGATCACTATTTGTAAAGAATTGAGTGATTTTGCAACCGCATGTACTTTATCAAACAATATGACTTGTGCTTGACCTCACGCTCACTTCCTATGTTCCATCCTCACAACATTTTCAACATATGTTCAACATTCTCTCATCTACATTGTAACTTTAATCAGACCCTTATTGCCACGTAAAACCTTCAAGGTGGTACCATAACGAAGATTTTCAGTCAAAATCCCAAAAGACATTTATTATCACTCCTTGGTACAAGCATCAAACACCAATTTTCAAAGTTCCACACAATGCATGGTAAATTTTCAAATTACACCTCCATAATCTGTTGTGTCCCCTTGTTATTTCCACTACCTCATTCTTTCACCCATTCGTTTTTAAATCCTTCTATTTCAACTATGCAAAAAACAAGCAATAGTTGATATTGCTAAACCCCATTTTTCTCTAACCACAACATGAATCCTTTCATGGAGATTATCCAGCATGTCAGGAAATTGATAGTAATTAGTTAATTTGTGAAATCTTGTTGTAAATCTTAACCTAAGTCTATGGTCATTATGCTTCAAAAATTGAGTTCCAAAAACTTCGAGGAAGGGACGAGTTCAAGCTTCAAAACCGAATTAAGGGATCTTCATTGCACCTTCAAAAGCCTAGCACAAGATAATGACCTAAATACCTAACCACCCTTGGTTTAAGGATCAAGCACTAAGAATTATAATCAATAAGTACTCTATCCCCTGATATGGCTCACAATAATGCACTGAGGTACCAAATAAAAATTGGAGCCGTAAGTCCTATCACCTAAACTTTATGAGAGGCCACTCAAACGGCCCCTGAAGCTTGTTTATCCAATTAACGGATCAGTTATCAACTCTTCTCCAGATCACTACAACTCCTCCTCTACTTCTTCTATCAACTCAATGAACCTCCTTAAAAAGCATGAATGTATGTACAATATTAAATGCAACTAAATGCACATGCATAGATGAAATAGGGATCTAAAATATGATCCAATTTTTAATTTGAAAGTTAAATGTCCAATGTCATTAATCATGAAAATCACACTTATTCATCAAATTGCAGATGCATCCCTATTTCATCATTTTCACACATTACTGTGAGGCATATTAAAGAATTTAAAACTCAATTTTTATGTACCTAGAGTAATTTCCGCTTAGTCTAATTTCACACATCTGCAAATTTCATCTATATTTGATCAACTCATGTGTAACGTGTAAAACAAAAATCCGACACAATTAGGAATCTGTCTAGATCAAGCCATTAATAAAGTTCTACCTAAAAAATGGAGAAAGACTGACTAGTTGGACGGACAGCTCGAGCGGTCTCCATTAGACTAGATTGAATCATTTTCTCATTCCAATGAAAATTGCATAATAAAGAACTAGATTTTATTTCCATGTTTTGGGTAAGAATTCTAATCCTTACTGAATCTTCGATATTTAGATCATCAATCAAAATAAAACAGTTGGGTTTGATGTTAAACCAAACTACTCTCAAGACCAAATTCGATTGAATTCCACCTATTATTGCTTTTAATGGATTACTAAAATGTTTGTCTAACACTATAGCAAAGATAGGGGTGTCTATTCCTTGTCTAAATAGGCAGGTAATAGTTATTTATATCATCTCTATATGGATATATTTTATATTTGAATATTATTTTTTCCATCTAGCAACCTTCTTTATATCAAAAAGTGCTAATTTTGCAATGCCTTCTGCAGAACATTTAGCGACTATATTTCCACTAAATTATTCAAATACTCTAGTTGAGAATGAATTGAACCTAGAAATTTTATATATTTCATCTTCATGATTTTTCTCAATTTTTCCAATTGTTCCTCAATAAACTTGATTTTCTCACCAACTACATCTCCTAACCTGACTCAATTTCTTTCTTCTTCTAGTATTTCTAATGTATGTTCCTCTTGTAGCATAAAGATTTGATCTAAATCTTCATCACTAAATATCTTTTATTTCAAAGATTTCTTCTCCATACAGAACTTCTAATTCTTGTTATTCAAGCATTTTAATCATTTTTCTAGCACTTTGTCCTTTTCTGTGGCAATTGGGTGCTATATGGTCTTCCCTATTGCAAATATAATATTTGCAATTCCATAAAAGACCAACGATGGCAAAGTCTAGCCTTAACGGTCAAAGACGAGACATAGGATTTGCAACAATAACAGGTATATGGATTTTTCAACAACTATCAATGAAACAAACAAAATAACCATACATAAAAATATAACGATTCAAATATATGAAAGCTAAAATTTATTATAATGATATTTTACAGAAGGATAAAACTTACAGAAGACATTGTTATACAATGAGTAGCCTTCTTCTGATACTAATTACAAACAAAACCAACTTTCTACAAGACTTAAAGACTTTTTTTCACAAGAATGGAAGATGATGGGGAAGGTTTACAAGGAAAGTTAAGTAGATAAGAAAGGAGTTATGGCATGCACGTGTAGGTGTTTTTCCATGGCTACGAAGAGACCTGCTTTGTAGCAAGAGGTCTTACAAAAGGACAAAAAGTCCTTTATTTCTTCTTTATCTGTCTTTTTGACTTAGTTGATAGCCTCGTACTTTGGATAGTACATAGGTGTCAAAAGTTCCTTATGTATGGCCATTTTGTTATGACCATAACCTAACAATTATCATCACTTCGGACAGTGGTTTCTTCCAAAGTATTTTCAAATCGTTTTTGCTTACTGCAATCTATATGGGTCCACTTCACTTCTGCAATAATATTGGTGTTAACATCACTGCTTACACTCTAGTATAATAATTTAGCTTCTGACGTCATGGCTTGCAGGATGGCTCTATTGCATTTTCTAAATTATGATAGTAGACACTATCCTTACTGGTTGTGGAGACATTTTTTAGCTGAATGTATATTTTCTCATTTCTTCAACTTCATTAACGCACATCTGTACATTAAACGATAAATCAAGCTGATCTCATTTAATCATGCATTATAGCAGTTTTTTTGCGGAGTTATATTGTTCTCGACTCTATTGATAGGCAATAGGATGGTCTAAGACAAAAATTCTCATTCCATCAGTTATTTTGGAAGAGTTTTTCTCTTTTTCAATCTTATGTAATTAGGCCCCGCTGATATTCAAGTACTTTCTAAAAATTCTGAATCTATAGTTCTATCAGGTGGCGTGAAAGAAAAAAAAAATTTCAACCATATTACATTTGGATATTAAAGAAAGTCGCAAACAGCAACTTCACCTATGAAGAAGATCTTACAAATAAATAAGAATTGGCACACGCCTTAGCAATATAGCAATTCTGTGTGGACAATCTTTTAGAATTAAGCTGGATTGCAAAGATTGAAAATGAGAAAACTCTTTTAAAATAACTGATGGAAGGAGAGTTTTGTCTCCGACCATCCTATTGTCTATCAACAAAGACAAGAACAATATGACTCTGGAGAAAAGCTGCTACAAGACATGATTAAACGGGATCAGCTTGATTTACCGTTTAGTATACTGATGTACACCGATGAAGTTGAAGAAATGAAAAAATATGCATTCAGCCAAAATCCGTATGAGGATAATGTCTCCACAGCCAGTGAGAATAGTGTCTACTACCATAATTTGGGAGACCCAATGGAATCATGACGCAAGCCTTAACATTAGAAGCTAAATTATTATACCAGAGCTTAAGTTGTGATGTCAACACCAACATTATTGAATAAACGAAGTAGACCCATATAATTTGTGGTCAGCAAAAAACGATCTAAAAGTACTTTAGAAGATACCACTGTCCAAAGTGATGACAACTGTCAGATTATGGTTATAACAAAATGGTCATGTGTAAGGAACTTTTGAAACCTATATACTAGCCAAAGTACAAAGCTATCAACTAAGTCAAAAAAACAGATAAAGAAGAAATAAAGGACTTTTTGTCCTCTTCTAAGACCTCTTGCTTTACAGCATTTCCCATATATATTTTTGCAGGGTATGGATAAAGGGAAAAATACTTAGATTACAGTCAACAAAAAACCTTGGATTCAGATAGCCAAAAAAACAATTCTGATTCTAAACAAGAACGAAAAAGTTATTATTCCATCTGAAGTTCCAAATTTTATAATCCAAATTT